TGCTATACCTCTAAAGCACTGTGTAAATGGACTGACCCATATATATAATTACTCTAAATTACAGCACAACAATGTTAAATCTGCAAATTTGTGGAAGCAAATTTTTGTTCTTCCCTCGCCGGAATTCTAACTCATGCTATTGGGATATCGAGACAACACCGCCTGCCCTGTGTCCAGCGCTCTAGACCACTCGGTTACCTAGACTGAACTAAAAATTCAGCTTTCGGTGGCCTAGTGTTACCTTTCCTTGTCAGTAGAATCTATAGTTGTAACACAGTACATGATATCTTAGGCATGAAGATAGAATTGATTGCAGATTAGATAAATTATCTATCGTAAAGGATCGTAAGATGCAGTCACAGAAATAAATAGTACGTCTAAACAAGTGACAACTCTACGACAGACCCATCCATTGGATCATCAGTGAAGGGGATACACGGCTGAAACACATATTATATTCATAATTACTCTAAATAACAGCACAACAATATTAAAATTATTATGTTCTTCCCTCGCCATGATTCGAACTCATGCTATTGGGATATCGAGACAACACCGCCTGCACTATGTCCAGCGCTATATTGATTTTTTTATGAACTGAGCCCAGTTAAAAATTTAGTTTATAGAGTCCATTGATAAATGAATAAATTAAATTCTTTATGTACCTGGATATGTTGAATTGAACCATGTATTTAGATTTTGGATATTGGACCATAACAGGTAAAAGTCCAATATCAAAGTGTTCAGTTCTTAAAGTTTGACCACATACATTCTATGTCAGAAACCTTAACTGTGTCAAATATCCAATCAACATCCAAATTCAAAGCTGTATCAATCTTGAATGTAGTGTCCATACTTAGCTTGTCCCAACTGTTCAGGGTTTGACCTCTTTGGTCGTATCAAACTGCGCACAGCGAAGCATTTTATTATTATATTTAGTAAAATGTATAAAATAATAAAGAAATACATGTAAATATGGATTAAGCAGTTATTGTCCATTGTTAAGATAATCTGCTAAAAACTGTCTTTGATACGAAGTCCATTATCGGATTAATGGAAGCATACATTTTAAACCAAAAGATAATCATAGATAAACAAATTGTTGTAAGCCAAAAAAAAAAACCCAACTTATATGACTAAAACCCTCAATTGATTCTTTAAAGGAGTAATGGCCCCAAAGTGGCGATGTTAACCGAATACATTTGGTTTCCAAACAATTAATCGAGTATAAGTATTTAGATCTCTATGAAATTGTATCACAAGGTTTCATACAACATAAAGGAAGGTTTTGATTGATTTTGGGGGTTATGGCCCTAACCGTTTAAGAATTTGGGCCAAAAAGAGACCAAAAGCAAACATTTGTATTGTTTCCAAACAATAACTTGAGTATAAAAAAGAGAGAGGCGAAAGATACCAGAGGAACATTCAAATTCATAAGTCGAAATTATACTGATAATGCCATGGCTATAAAAGAAAAAGACATGCAGACAAACAATAGTACACAAAACACAACATAGAAAACTACAGACTGAGCAACACGAACCCAACCAAAAACTGGGGGTGATCTCGGGTTCTCCGGAAGGGTGAGCAGATCCTGCTCCATATGTGGCACCCGTCGTGTTGCTCATGTTAGTACAAACCCGATAATAAGTCACATTCGTGAAAAGTGTATTGATTTCTATGAAATTGTACCACAATGTACCATATCACATAAAAAGGAAGGTTGGATTAAATTTGGGCGTTATGGCTGTATCCGTTACCTCTCTTAAAATGTTTAAGATTATAATGTATGACTTATCTTTTACGTGATATGCAAATGAGAAGCAATCATTTCACTTTTAAATGTTACTAGAAATTGTCCTAAGTTAAACTTAGATATATTAATTCTAGTGATTATTGTTCATGCATTGTTCATCTTTAAGATTGTTAGCATGTATTCTAACGATTTCCTATGGTTGAAAATTCCATTCCATCTGTAACCCACCTGTAGCAATATTCAAGCACCTAAAAATTATTAATTAATTAATTCAATAAAAGGTTTCCTACTAATTACAGTTAAACTAAATTCCTTTGTAGAGCATTTTAGAATCTTTGCTAATATTTTCTATTAATTAATTAATAAATTAAATTCTTGGTCTACTTGGATATGCTGAATCAAACCGTGTATTTAAGTTTTTATGTGCTGGTTTATGTTGTTTTATGTATCCGTTTTTATTCTGTAGTTAGTCAACACTTCGGTGTTTTCATGTTTATCTATTATATAGTCATTTTTATAAATTTACTGTTTGCAAAAGTATGAATTATTCTAGATACTAAGGATTTTCTTATCCCAGACATATAACCTTAGCCTCATTTGGCACAACTTTTTGGAACTTTTGATCCTCAATGCTCTTTCAATTTTGTACTTGTTTTGGCTTTCGTACTTTTTTGATCTGAGCGTCACTGGTTAGTCTTGTGTGGACGAAACGCGCGTCTTGCGTATTAAATTTTAAACCTGGTACCTTTTGTTAGCTATTATTCTTGTTTCTCTGTTCTATATGTTCTCCCATTCATTTGTATTGTAGTCCTGTCATGTAATGTTGTCATTTTAATGTTATATTTAACATTGCCATAAAAGCGGGAGGTTTGGCTAGCCACAAAACCAGGTTCAACCCACCATTTTTTTCTTAAAATGTCCTGTACCAAGTCAGGAAAATGGCCATTGTTATATTATAGTTCGTTTCTGTGTGTGTTACATTTTAATGTTGTGTTTCTGTTGTGTCGTAGTTCTCCTCTTATATTTGATGTGTTTCCCTCAGTTTTAGTTTGTAACCCGGATTTGTTTTTTTCTCAATCGATTTATGAATTTCGAACAGCGGTTTACTACTGTTGCCTTTATTTGGATATTGGACCATAATAGGTAAAATTCCAATATCAAATTTTTCAGTTCTTTGACCACATTCATTCTGAGTCAGAAACAGAGAGCATGTTTTACCAATGACAATAGTTTCACCTATTATCTGGAAATCTTTTATAATACCAGCAAAAATGTTCGCCAATTATCTATCTACACAAATAAAATTATGACTCAAACCCATCATTTGACTCCTGATCCGGATAGCAATTAATTTTAACCTTGGACACGATCTTAGATAGACGGAAGTAGAGCAAAATGATCAGTCATTCAAGATTTACAAATACATCAGTAACAGAATTTTAAATCTACTGTTTATTGGTTGTCACTACCTAAACGACTGATTTCAGTTTGACCTAAAAAAAAAACAAACTATATTACATACAATCCATCAATCAATACGACCGTCATGATTGACAATAGAACATTGGGTAAAACTCTATTAATTGTCTTATAATCTATATGAAAACTAAAATATATACTAGTGAAACTATGTCAGGAAAAAATGATCGTTAATTCAAAAGCTACTGTTAATTCCCAGAAATAATGAATTATTGGATTAATTGCCCTATCATAACGATGTTAATTGGACTTTTTATATTTTGATAATTATCTTTAAAACAATAATGAAAGGAGAGAAACAGCTGTAAGCAGCAAACAATGGCAAACAAACTAATTAATTTCATTTGTCCTTACTTTGATTATGCTGATAAGACTATAGGAAGCTTCTGAAAATATTTTTTATCTTTTTTTTTGTTACGTACGTAAATATCCATATTCCACAGACTTGCCAGACAAGTTATTCAAGCACCTTGTAGTATCTAGTATATGTTAATATCAATGTTGTTTAACAAGATAAGCTATTCAGGTAAAACTGTCTGGTCGAAGTTTGTTTGTTTATCAGTCTTAAGTACTGTCAATTCAGAATTTATAGCGTGCATTTATAAATGCAATTTTTGAAGAATGGACAACACTGCGAGATTAATTATTGCGATTTTAGGAAATTTACATTAAGATATATGTATCAGATATCAGAATGCGACTTTTTATTGTTCGATTTTCACTCAGTCGCATTATATGCATTTTAAAAAAACCGCACAATAATTTCTAAATTTACAGTATGTCCTGAGCTATAGTAAGCAGTCGGTAAAAATCAACGAAAAAAATAATGATTTGGTATAATTGCCAATAAGACAAAGAGATGAACGATTGAGATCAGTATGACATACAATTTTATGCCCCCGCCGTAGCGTAAGGGGCATTAAATTTTACCCTTGTCCGTACGTCCGTCCGTCCGTACGTCCCAAAGTTGGTTCCATTCTTTAACTTTAGTTTGCCCCAACCAAATGTTATGAAACTCATACACAATGCTTATTACCACAAAACACAGATCAGGTTTGAATTTTGGTGGCGTCACTTAAACCTTTCTAGAGTTATGTCCCTTTACAAATGGAAAAAATTGCTGAATTTTTCGTTTCCGTTCTCTAACTTAAGTTTGCCTCAACTAAATGTTATGAAACTTATACACAATACTTAATACCACGAAACTCAGATCAAGTACAAATTTGGGTAGCGTCACTTTTACGGTTCTTCCGTAATGTCCCTTTATAACTTTATATGATATGCAAGCGGGGGCATCATCTGTGTCCCATGGACACATTCCCCATTACTTTCATGAAGCTATCAAGGTTATGATTTACATTGAAGTTCATATTTGAGACATCTCAAAGTGCATACAATTGATATTTCATCAGTCTTTACTTTTACTAGTCAAGTTTTGCTCTTAGGTATATTTTATATCGATTTCACACGTTTTTTACACGTTTATAAACCATTTTGTGTGTTTCAAGACACTAAAAATGTAACACATGTATATATTGTAACATCGCTCCCTAAACGCGTAACAATTTTCGTTCTATCATATGCAAAAGAAAATTACTTTAAACATTGCTAACAGAAGATTATTAAAATATTACTAAGTTGTAATATATATATTCCTGTACACGCAGTATTGTGTAACTTTAAGGACCGACTTAATAAAATTTAGAAATAAATTTATATAATGGATAATAAAATATTATTTAATGTGTACCATTATTTTTTTTAGTTATTATCAATGCTGACATTGAAGACAATCAGAAAAGATGGCTGATTATTGGTATATGCATTCAGTTTGTCATAGCTCCAACACTGCGAAAATTTACAGAACCAGTTACACGCAACTTGTACAATGTCATACAAAATACGCATGGAATTCAAACACAGACATATCCTACACAACTTAGAAAATACCCGAGTTCGGGTAGGGATCTGAATTATGAAGCAATCAATAACAACCATTTAATACCACGAGTTCGTAGGCAACCAGATGTTGGTAAATACGACTACAACGTGACCAGTCATGTAGAATTCTCAAAATTATTCTTGAACACTTTTATGGCCCAGTACACGGCTTTTGATGAAACATGTGACTTGTCGGCGCTCCTTGGGATAATCATAAACATTGACAAGTTTCCCCAGCCAGTACAGAATGTTGCTCAAAAGGTATATTTTTCCCTTGTCAGGGGTATATTTGTATTGATCGAGGAACCAGTTGATATTACAGAAAACAGGGTACATGAATAGGGAGGTTTGGAGTCCTACGGTCACGTATTAGAGGACATCAAATGGTAAAACTGCCACTTCATATAATGATATTTTGACTAAATATAAAGATTCTTGCACGGCATATGATGTCAAATACACATCAAATATAAGTGCACATCATATAATGTCAAGCAATCATTTAAATGTTATAAAAGTTTATTTATTGTCAAATGCATATAATATAGAAATAAGGAGATATGATATAATTGCCAATGAGACAACTATCCACCAAAGTTCGAATGATGAGAAACACATACCTTATAGTATATAAAAGGCCCCGACATGGAAAATATGAAACAATTCAATAGACCATTTTCATGTTACCGACTTTTGACTCCTGATTTTATAATTTTTCGACAGGTTACCTATTTTGTGGTAGGACATCCTGGTACTCGGTCAAGTAGGAGTAACCAAAAGAATTAAAATCAATCATATAATCGATGCAATTTAGGGGAAAGTTTGCTGATTTTGTCGTCTTCAGAAAACATCAAACAATTAATTTCCCCAAAAAATTGTACCGATTGTAAACTTGATTTTACTTCTTTAAGTTGCTCTTAATTGACCGAGTCAAATATAAGATATAAATCCCAGAGTCAAAAGTCAGTAATATGAAAATAGTCTTTTGAGAAAACTAACGGCCTAATTTATAACAAAACAATTTAAGAAAAACAAATATGACAGACATGAAACAACGAAAAACACTGAACTACAGGTTCCTGAATTTGGACAGGCACATACAGAATGTGGCGGGATTAAGCATCTTTGTGAGCGCCCAACCCTCTCTTAACCTGGAACAGTGGTGTTACAGCACAACATTAGAACTTATTATAAGAATCAGTTGAAATGGGCTTAACTCATCAGATTGAAACAAAGCAGGAAAACAGCTAACAAAAACACAGATCGGACGGGGCAGGGTATTTATACATCACTAACAACAAAAAAGACAAAGTACAGATCTGAGAGTACTCGAAGTTTTAATTTACTGATAAAAAAATCAATTCTTATACCAACAAAAATAACATTCGAATATCTAATTACAGTGTTGAATTGGTAACCTTTCAGAATAAGTTTATTCAAAGAACTAATCAGTTTACCAGGATTGTATATAAATTTCAGGGCTCGGTAAACAACATCATCGTAAAAATTATGATGTGCTATTCCATTTTAAATAAGTTTTCTACAGGAACAGCTAAACTTGCAAACCAAATCTTTGTATTAATGGAAGAAATTTAATAAAGGTTTTAAATAATTTGTGTTAACGAAATACCTGACTTAATAATTTACAAGTACTACAAAGATTACGCTCATTAATGTCGTTTTCACATCATATAAACTTTCAGGTAAAATCACATCATAAAATCAATGGTAACATATATCGGAAATGGACATACACTATGAAAACCGAAGATGTATAAATACTTAAATACTTAGGGAGATAAATGAACACAAGGGACATACAAACACCAAGCTAAATCCACTTTGATCCAAGATCAACTTTTCCGGAAGTTTGAATGCAGTTTTATAATAATATGTTCGAAATGAAAGGAAGTGAAGATAACATTTTTATCAAAAATGCTTCCGCATTTCATGTTACTGTGATCGTTATTTGCTTTCATTTTGAAATAATTTGAAAAAAGTCAAATTCAATTTTAAAGTTAGTTAATCTTTTTCAAATTAGTAAGTCAAAATGGTAATAGACATGCCTTTCATTCAAATAAGCTAAGTATTTATATTCTGTTCGCCAATACAGACATGTTGTGGCACAGTAAACTCATTAAAGTATTTTTTCCATTTCATTTGCAAGTATTGATATATTTTATTAAACAATAAGAGAGAAACAGGAGATAATGACTGTTTTCCTTTCATAGTTGTATGCCCAATATTTATTTTTAACACAAGAGCAAAAGACAAAATACAATTATTAAGAATGTCAAATCAGGAACTAAAACTGCTGAATCTTATTAGTTACATAGGGTGCTAGTGACCTAATGCTATATATATGGGGTCACTAAATTCCATATGGGGTGAGAGCGAAGCTAGTGACCTAATACGATATATATGGAGTCAGTAAATTTCATATGGGGTGAGATCGAAGCTCGAATCCCCATATGGAATTTACTGACCCCATATATATCGTATTAGGTCACTAGCACACTATGTAACGAATTTATCTTACCGACTATCTTAACATGTGGTATTTAGACTAGTGGCCTATCAAACATTGTGTCAAAGTGATCAAGTCTTCAATACCGTTAGTATTAATAACCTACTTCCATTGGTCTATACAAAACCAAAGGCCAACAATAACAACTTGTTAAATGTTAGCTTTAAATGTGTTTTATGAATTTATTTCAATCGTTCATCATCAATTTCTTCGTCTGTTGAAACCTTTCAGATTTTTCCTAAACACCGTGTTGTTTTTATAAAGGGACGTAACACCACTACTAACATTGTATTGAAATGAGCCCCACCTACTAACCTAATATAGAATATACACGGTCTCCACGCAGTTGTTTTTAACCAATCATATTCCTATGTATAGGAGGTGAGATAATATTATTTACATTTAAGGTACAACTTATGATTTTTGTATTTTTTTCAACCAATATTTTGAAGGTACGTTCGGATGTGAGGAATCCATGGGCACATTGTAATTTTGATGAATGGGACTCTCTTAAATATCAAACTGCATTCCAGTTGTTGCATCAACTAGTAAGATGTCTTCAGCTGAATACAACAGATGAAGCTAACATACAGGCAGAACTGACCAAATGGGAGACAAACGGTAATTTATTTGAAATTGTATGGCAATATCTAAAAATGAAATTAAACATTCTAGTTCTATCATCTACAAGAGTTGTATCATCTTGTATAACACATATCGTTACATTTGTAGATCCAGATTTCTGTATAAGATTAACTGGTGATGTTGTTTAAGGTGTAATACCACCATTGATTTTACCCTATTTGTCTTTGTGAAATTTGCACTTTTCAAAAACATGTGCAGAATTTACCTTTGTTTCAAATTAAGAAATACTTGGCATGAGTAAAGTTTCATCCTGTCCAGTACTATAGACAAAATTTCACATTACATTTCCGACGTTGCATATAAGAAAATAACCATCACTTGAAGTTAACCAATCAAATGTTCCCGCCTTTTTTTTCCTGTGTTCAAGCTTTAGTAACCATGAAACCTCAAGGTTCCAAAATATTCTATAGAAACACCAAATAAAAAAATAATTGTGCTTTGAAACACCTAAGATATTTGTTACTGCAATGGAATGTAGGATTAATTTCCTACAACTGTCAAATTCAAGGGAATATTTTTTTTCAACCCTTTTTCCGTATGCAACCGGATGTGACGTACTATGAATTGATGGTATTACACCTAAAATGTAAAGAAATCATAAATTTAAAAGGACACCATAACACACACGTTGAGACGCTTTCATCTTTAATATTTTCTTCTAATAGAATAACATTATATTTATCGCAAAGTTAGCAGAAATAAATTCCCGGCAAAATTTTCTCACATTACCTTATTCATTTGTGTAAAATTTTCGCCAAGAGTTTATTTTAGCTAACTTTGCGATTAATATATTAAAATTTAAACTTCAAGGAAGATAAAAATCATGATGAAGATACACTGGAAATTTAAGTAAACCACACAAACAGATGAAGCTTTAGAAATCGCAAAATATATTAGATAGACCCAGTGAAAGAAATAACTCACAATGAATGTATGTGGTCAATTGTGTGTTTCGGCATCTCTATAACACAAATTGGAATTTGGAAGGTGGTGTAACAATACTAGTGTAGTAATTTTTTTAAACCAACAGCATCGGAGAGAATATAATAAACTTTTGACAGGTTAAAGAAATTGTTTTCAACTGGATTTCATTGTGAATAACACAATGATGGTGAAATGATCCAATACAAGGTGGTAGACTATACTCAACATTGTGTCTTGTGTCTTGGGTCTTGCATTTTCTGTTTACTATATCGAATCACAGTCATACAGATCTCATGAAACACAACTTGTTTGGTTTCTTCAAGAATACCTGCAGATATTTGTCTATAAAATAAAATGAATAAATCGAATTTATCAACACAAACAAAGGCTTTTTAGATCAAAATGCGGATCGATGGTTTTTTTTTAATTTGGGACGTAATTCCAACAAGAGGCTCTAAAGAGTCTGTGTCGGTCACCTATGTATATGTGCATAATCAAAAATATTTATCTATTATATTTTTTAACAGAGAAGGAACGCAATAAAATAGGTAAACATTGTCATTAAAGGGTAATAAATCCAATAAGGAGTCGTCGGAAAATTTCCTCCATATTGTCTGAAATGTCTTGTCTTGCTGATCATCTTTTGTATGATTTTTAAGATATACGGCAAAAACTAAACAAAACGGTAAAAATCGTCATCAAAGGGCAATAAATCTAATTAGGAGTCGACTGGCGATTTCGACCATACTATTCATTTGTAGATCTTGTCTTGCTGATCATTTTTTAATTTCAAAGTTTCTCTCTATCAATTATAGTTTTCAAGGTAAAAGACAAAACTTGAAAAAAAAACATGTTAAAATTTGTAATTTAAGGGCAATAACTCCTATGAGAAGCCGTCTGACAGTTTTGACGTCAATGAACAATTGGTAGAGCTCAATATTTTGAACATGTTTGCCCAGTCAGATTTTCTCTATTCATAACGGTTTTCAAAATAATAGACAAAACTTGCAGTTTTACCCTATGTTCTATTTTGAGCCATGGCGGTTATCTTTATTGGCTCACGAGGTCATCGGACACATTTATAAAACTAGATACACAATGATGATTGTGGCCAAGTTTGGTTAAATTTGGTCCAGTAGTTTCAGAGGAGAAGATTTTTGTAAAATTAAACGGACGACGACGACGACAGACGACGAACGACGAATGCCAAGTGACGAGAAAAGATCACTATATTTTTAATTACATGGGAGACGTAAGCACTCTACGACCCTCTCCCTGAATCAGACGTTTTCTGCTGACATGAAACAAATTCGAATTTCTAAATCTTATATTTAACCATGATGACTTCTTTTTTCTGTCCTTTATTGTGATGTTTAATGGGCTCCTTCGTAAGAGAAGTAATTTCTCAGTTAGGTTATCATGCACTTTTTTGTAGTGACTATGCAGATTTCAATGAATATCTTAATGTCTAAATGACTTAAAGATCAGACTTATTGCTGCATTAATGACATTGTTGTTCATCAAATATTATAAGTTTTATATCAAATACAAGTTTGTTGTTTATTGGTTTAATGAGTTCACTGGGCATGCATGAATGTACTTAAAATTTATATTCACTCTTATGTATTACTTTTAATAATACCTATATAACAAACAATTATAAGAATTATCCCTCATCATCTTTGGTTTTTAATAGACATTTAATACTTTTAATATACTGTGGTTATAAAATCAGTCCATCTTGTATTTTTTTCCGATCAATATCGACTACTTTAGGAAAAGTTTGAACCACATCTAAAAATTAACTTTATTTATATTGTAATAATTTAATTTTGGATGTAACGCGTCTTCTGATTGGCTGACGTTGTTTTGTTTATCAGCTCATAGACATAATTTTGTCATGTGGCCGTGACGTCATCATCGTTTTTTCATGGTTCACTCCGGTTTAAAATGGAATTTAGAATTAAATTATAAGAAATGACTGTAATATTTTTTCTGTCTATTCGAAATAACATAAAAAATGTGGTGCACACTTTAAAATAACCCGCTACGCGGGTTATTGAGTATGCACCACATTTTTGATGTTATTTCTTCATAGACAGAAAAAATATTACAGTCATTCCTTAAAATAAATTATTTGTCATATGTTTACATCAGAAATTGAACAAATCGTGTTTTATGCACTACTTATTACCAAAATATGTAGATGATGTCTGCAAAATTCGCAAACTACAGCGGTAAATATGAGGCTATAGAAAGCGTGATTTCAATAATGTGGTATATTTTTTTCAGTAAATGGGGTCTGAAATTAAAAACGATAGAATATTGAATACTTTGTCCAAATGTAATTTATATCAGCCGATTTTCAAAACAAAAATAAATAGAGAGCGTCAATGAGAATTTCCATACTAATGGTTAAGCAAAATTGTTAGATGTTGTAAAGATTATACAAAAAAAAAATTTAGCTCTTATAATGTGCTTTCATACCACATCTTCTTATTTTTATATTTCAAAAAATAGAATAAAATCAAATGGGTCATAGAACTCGTGTTCTTGCTACACTGAAAAAAAAAATGATAATCCTTCATAAAATTAGTCTATCCGAGTTACCTCCACTTATATATGATAAAGTTTAAAAAAATGAAGCAAATAAAAATATCTTGTGTTTGTAAAAAGCAGTCGTAATTTAGGTGAAAAGACTTCGAAATGAATTGCATTCCTTATGTTAAAACAACGTTTTTCATTAAAGATCTAGTCCGATTTTTTTCTGCTTAATACAATCCAAAATGGCAAAAGACGCTCGATCTACCCTAATACTTTTGTTGATTTGTTAACCTAATTTTACAGTAAATCTCTGTACCATTTGTGCTCCTACTGTTTGAAATATTTAATTGAGCGTTTCTACCAAAACGAAAAAAAAACCAGTGAAGCCCGTCACACATGCTATGCCTTTCCAAAATCAAGAATCTCGTCATTTTTTTACTCTTTTATATTCATGTCTCCTTTGTCCTTTAAAATCATTGTTTTATTTTTTATTTTATTTGTTCGACAAAAATTTTTTAGATATATAAAGGATATTTATTTTTTATCCTCAGGATTTATGTTTCTACAAGGCTATGGAGTCAACCAGCAAGTTGTAAAAGAAATCCGACAACAAACACGTGCTTTGGCTGATTATGCGTTGAAAATGAAATCGGGTATGGACACAATATTTGCACAGGTGCATGATGCTATGTTCAAAATTAATGGTGAAATAATATTAGCTTGTAGTCGTATAAGCAGTATTGAATCGAAACAAAATGAACAACAAACAGATATTGGTAGCTTGAATAAAGACGTAAGTGTTTTATATGATAGATCATTAGCCATTGAAAACGTTCAAAAAGAACATGGAATGAAGATTGAAGAAAATGTTTCCAACACGGCTGCAACTGCTAAAAATGTCGAGATATTGAAAATAAGGGATGATTCAACGGCGAAACACGTCAGTAAGCTTGAAAACGAAAATATAATAATGAAGGAAGATATATCGGACATCAAAACTGATATAACCGAAATAAAGTTTGACATTAAAGATTTCAGAAATTATATGCCAACGTCTAAACCTAGCGGAAAAACGTTATTTTATCCACCAAATCGGTCAGAAACATTTGTTGCTAGGGAAACGGAGTTGTGTAAACTTAAAGACAGTTGCATAGGTAAAAGTAATGGAAATCATACTTTGGTCATATGCGGATTAGGTGGTTGTGGAAAGACAACGCTTGCAATTGAATTTGCATGGCGTTCGCAGGAATTCTATCCAGCTGGTGTATTTTGGATGTCAGCAGAAACACAAGATACATTAGAGGATTCCCTTACAACATTAGCAATTGATGTTGATTCGACTGGAAAAGACTTTAGAGAAACTTTTAAAAGAACCCTAAAATGGTTTTCTAATTTGAATGAGAGATGGCTTTTAGTTGTGGATAATATAGACGAGGAATACCTTTCTGACAATACTAAAGAACTATTGTTAGGTAGTTGGAAACGGAATACTCGTGGGCATATTCTTATTACTAGCCGACGTGAACCAAATGAAGTTGAAGAATCAATGGTTGTAAAGAAAGAGGATTGCATTAGTCTAAATGTATTTGAAATAGAAGAAGGGTTAGATTTTCTAAAGCGCAGAACAGGAAAAAATAGCACTAATGATGACGATACCATAATCTCACTAGTAGAAGAGCTTGGGGGATTGCCATTAGCATTAGAACAAGCAGCTGCACATATCAAAAGTATTAAATGTTCCTTTAGTGACTACGTTAACAAATTCAAAAAGAAACGATTGAAATTATTGAAGGCAGCACCCTCTGTAATGAAGATCAACAAGGATAGACTAGCAATAGCGACAACTTGGCAATTGAACATTGATTACATAACGAGGCAATCAGAAAATGAAGGCCTTGGTACGGCTGCTGCAACCGTAATGCAAATTGCGTCATTTTTGTTTGCTGATGATATTCCTAAAGAACTTATAAATGTAGGAAGTCCACTTGTAGAAGATAGTGATTTGGTAGAAGTTCTTGAAGATGAAATGGGATGCAAACAGGTCATTGAAATTTTGACGAGATTCTCATTGTTTCAGCGAGTACATGATACGTCTCTGTCGGTTCATAGGTTAGTTCAGGAGGTCATTAGAGATAATTTGTCCGTCAAACATCGTTGTTTGATTCTTCAACATGTTATACGTATGGTGAATAAAGCGTTAGATTCTAGTCAATCCCCTGCGAATGTTCTTTACAACGACGCCTTCACAAAGAAGAGTGTAAGGGGAACCCTCGTTAAATGGAGCAAGTTAGCAGCTAATGCAAATTCAATAAAAATGTACGTTTTTAATCTTAAGAAAGACGAGATTCCGGAGCACGAACTTTTCTTCAACAAAGAAATTTTGAGGATATTACAGACAACAGCATTGTATCACAGCATTCATCAACGACAAGCTATAGCACTTGCTGACCAAGCGCAGATGGTTCGTATAATAACAACTGTTGAGGTTGATACACATTTTTACAAAGATCTTACAAGAATAAAAATACCGCTGCTCCAACGAGATAGAGAGAAAATTGTAGACTGTTTAATGTCTGTTTTACCTGTCGAAAACGTAGAAACTCGTGACTATACTTCGGTCGTAACATATGGGGCTGAAACCTTAAGATTACTTGGAAATGAAGCATTCAAAGAGCAGAGGTATCTAGATGCTATACGATATTACACTGAAGGCATAAGGTCTAGCCCTATTGAAAATATTGATAGCAGATTATTCTCTAACAGAAGTTTAGCTTATATTCGAATAAGGGACTTTGTGCATGCCTTTTCTGATGCAAATAGATGTATTGAAATTGCCTCTATCAATTGGAAAGGATATTGTTGGAAAGCCTATGCCATTTCGGGATTGATAGAAGATGGATCGTTTCCTCCAACCATGGAAGCTATGGGATTAGCTTCTGCTTGTATTGCATCTTATAAACATCCACCCTGTCTCCTTGAATACAATATGAAAATCTCTTATCCAATAATAAATTATCAAATAGTTGAAAGGCCAGAATGTTTACAACAAGACATAATGTCGTTAACAGACAGACCATTTACTACGCTGTTGTTGCGAAAGGGACGATATACATTCAACGAACCACTCATTACAACAAAGAGTATCCAGGTCATCGGTATAGAAGACGACGTCGATATTGACACAGGTCCAGGTTTACAAATTTCTCGTTTACCTAAAGGCGCTTTTACAGTTGATATTGAACCTGAACAAACGATTAAGACACACTTTGAAAAAGTTAATTTTGTTTCAGGAAATCACATCACGGTTCTTGAGAATTCTATCGCAACATTTTATAACTGTAAATTTTCAAACGGGAAAAAAGGATGTGATGCTTTTCCAAAATGCACAGGAAATATAGGATGTATCAATCCGTTGAAATGTAGGCAGGCATACCAGGAAGGTGTTTTGCTTTTCGGAACTATTTCTTTTGGTCAAGCCGGTTTTCCTGGAATAATTGTATACAATGGAGGAACTGCGTACCTAGATGCATGTTTACTCGATAGGTGTGGAGGTGGTGGCCTTTTGTCAGAAGGAAAAGGTTCTTTCATGGAAATCAAAAACTGCACCGTGCAGAATATGAGACAAATGGGAATCGAAGCTAGAAATGAAGGCGCAGTTAGAATAAGTAAAAATACCATATTAGAAAATCAGACACATGGTATTGCTATTGGACCTAACGGTTATGGTTTTATTGAAGAAAACATAATTCAGGGAAATGGAGCAGAAGGTATATGGTGTGGAGGGGTATTAGATTCACATGAATCGGCAAATATGAACGAAACTGGTGCTTCAAGGGCTGTTCTTATTGATAACGATATCGGACAAAATGGTCTTTCGGGCATATCATGTGATGGTTGTTTCGTCGAAATCAAGGGAAATCGAATTTTTTCTAATCACATTTGGGGCATGATGGTGAAATCGAGATCTTCTGCATATATTCTTAATAATGAAATTTTTGATAACAAATGTGGTGGAATCAGAATCGGCCACAACTATACTGCTTCAGTTATAATTGATGGGAACACTATAAGGGATCACACTGGCCCAGGTGTTTATACAGTGAATTCATCAGAAAGTTTTTTTAACAAAATGAAGACGAATTTATCTGATTTTTTTGTGGGGAACGGTGAAATTATGGGATATTCAAGACCGCCCGTAATAACAAGTACCAATGTACTGAGGAACAACGACAAAGGGACACAACATCCAAATGAAGTCGTACGTTTAATCGAAGCCTGCAGTTTTTGCCGTCAAGTATCACATAATTTAAAATCATGTTCCAAATGTAAAAAAGCAACATATTGTTCAAAGGTGTGTCAAACTAAACATTGGTTACGACATAAACATATGTGTAAACTTTTGAGGAGTTCATATGTAGTTGAAGTTCCCGTGTCAAAAATAGAACCAATAATGGGAAATAATGAACCGAACACTTTACGCACCAGAACATTTAATCCTAAACTTAAAGGAATATTAGAAGGAATACCCCCAAACAAAAGAAGTTGCAATCGTTTTATAGTTAAGATTCAATCTGGAAAGGAATATACATTTTATGATCCAGACAAGAAACTGATTGTATATGACCAAACTGTTACACTAGACATAGAAATTTCAAATCCCATTCTGTATCATCTGTGTATGGAATGTGGAGTACTTGCAGGTGAGAAATTCACCACGAAAAAGATATTTTGCTGGGCATCGTACAAAAATAATGGAAAAACCCTGTGTTTCTATACAGACAATCTTCCTCCATTTCAAACGTGGTGAGGTATGAAATAAAATTTGAAGGCACATTTGAAATTAAACATACATTTGTAATTATGAAACCTACAATTGGTAATTTATTTTATAAGTCACAGGCGTTTCAGTAGTCAAAATATGAATACGATTATTGTAGATATGTTTAAGATAAACAATGCATCAACTTATTGTCATGAAAGATTTTTTCAACTAATAAGAAAGATAGCGTCGCTGCTATTTTTGCACATAAATCTTAAACGTCAACAATGGTGTGTAGGATTGGTACTGGTGTTTCCAAATGTATTTTAAAAACACTCGACAGAGAAATGTGTCTTTATATATTATAAAGATTAATACAATTTCGCAAACGATATTACATATGTAGGACTCGGAGTTGCGATGGGAGCGCTAAAGTGCGATCGTCACGCTGAAGTGCGATGGTCTCACTGAAGTGCGATGGTCCTTTCGCTGATGTCCGATGGTCTATACGACGAGTGATGGATATTCAAAAATCCACAGATGTTTAATTATTATAAGTTTGATTGTTTTATTGATAGTGAATAAATACCAAACATTCAATATTGTTTCCTCTTGGTGTAAAACCCATCTTGCTACTTGTTCTCATTCACAGTAGCCGTAAAAGTGTTTACGTATTTTGTTCCATTCTGACTAATCAAATATAGTATTTACATTTCATTTTGCATTTCAAACAACAACCACGTCTTTCAGTCATTGCAATTAGTCAGGTTGTAAAGAATAATTACCTAATTGTATCTAACGTCTATAGGGTCAATATCTAAACGATTTTATGAACTTCTGCTATACATATTTACAAAGTACACTGCAACTTTATATGTAGAACAGGAAATGCTATGACCATTCATCATGACAGTTTTAAAATTAAACGGCATAATTATACTCTCGATGTTTTACTTTAAAAAAAACTGAAAAGCTACTTCTAATAAACAAATTGACTTCTACATTTCTATGTGAACATGAAAAAATATTGAGCATTGATTTATCTAATCCATTGCACTTCGGTGTAGCTTTTAAGAAGATAGCGTCACAATCACACCATCGCACTTCAGCCTGGCGTCACTATTAGGAGTACCATCGCGGTTCAGAGTCCACATATATATATATATATTATATATATATATATATATATATAAAACACGTATATATATATATATATATATATAACATCTTCACACGCTTAAAACACATGTCTTATGTCTATCTCTAGATTCGCCTTACGTGACAAGGTAACACTACGACTATTGAAGTTATATTTTTATATAGCGGATGTGGTCGTGTGGTCTAGAGCGCTGGACATGAGGCTAAGCGATTGGTGCTGTAGTGTATCAAAGGTGTGAGTTCGAATCCCGTTGAGGGACAAAAATTTGTCAGCATAAAAGTCTAATTCTAACACTGTTGGGTGTAATTTTCAGACTTATATAAATATTTGTATTAACCCTGTGTCTCAAACACACTGAGATCCAGTGGGCATATATATTGTATGGTTGTCACTTGCTTAGACTTGTTTGTATGATATACTTATTTCTAGTGACTGTATAATGAATTGAATCATTATCCCATACGGTATATAAAAATTGTTGAGTTAGATTGCTGACAAATAACAAATACATTGTGTATTAAATAATAATATAACATCTTCACACGCTTAAAACACATGTCTTATGTCTATCTCTAGATTCGCCTTACGTGACAAGGTAACACTACGACTATTGAAGTTATATTTTTATATAGCGGATGTGGTCGTGTGGTCTAGAGCGATGGACATGAGGCTAAGCGATTGGTGCTGTAGTGTATCAAAGGTGTGAGTTCGAATCCCGTTGAGGGACAAAAATTTGTCAGCATAAAAGTCTAATTCTAACACTGTTGGGTGTAATTTTCAGACTTATATATATATATATATATATATATATATATAAAACACGTATAAAAATTGCGGTTTTTATCCAACGCAATCATAGGTTTGAACGCTGTTTTCAATTTAGACTTGTTTATATTTTTTCGTTTGGGCTTGTATTATATTTGCCTTCGGGTTTATATGATCCGTTCATCCTATTTTGACTCTTTCAAAATTTAAGAGTCTATCCTAAATTGAGGTAAGTTATGTGGCCTTCCAAATACCGTTTCGATTCCTAACATCACTGAAGAGACATTAATTGTCGAAATCCGGATATGGTGTACAAATTTTTGCACCTCATGTTTGCGGTATACCATCTTTTCCGCAAGTTTATTGTTTTCTGTTTGGTAATGAATTAATAATAAGATCTATTTTGTTACATCTTGTGATCCGTTTATTTGGCAATCGCCAATGGCAGTCAGCAGGGGTTAAGAACATCAGTTGTTCGACCTGCTAGTCATATGCGTTTTGTTAAAATATTTCTTTTTCACTCATTTGGTCTTTTGGAAAATGTTGTTTGTGTTGTATTTAGACCCCTCTACCAAGAAATTTGTTTTGCATGCACACGTATAAAAATTGCGGTTTTTATCCAACGCAATCATAGGTTTGAACGTTGTTTTCAATTTAGACTTGTATATATATATATATATATATATATATAAGTTCAGTAAAATCCGTATCCTGGAAACATATAAGACAATTAATAAAAGATAATACCGGTTTCAGTTCATCCACATTTTCTAGGGCCTTCACTGCTTCACATATCTTCAGGTAATGTGACTTGTATACATAAGTGTTATAAAATAATTGTGTGAAGTTAAGAAATAAAAATGAGACTTGTCATAATGAAATTGAGTAAACTCTTTAAAATTTTTTAATAAAAATATCATGACTATAAAACGACTGTTCATAGGCATCAAATCAACCATAAATATTTAACAATCATTCGGGCAAACGAAAATTTCCGTCGTTGTTCTTAAGGGCGATTTTCAATTTCTCATTGTATATTGTCAATTATCAAAATAAATTTCTCCGGTAGCACACGTCGTGTTACTCGTGTAAATTCAAACCCGATGGTACGTCTAATTCGATAGGTCACATTCGATGAAGAGAACGAGATTGTGGTTACGACAGTTGGAACATATCCGTCGTCATCCGTGACAGTGCTTTGGTATCGACATGATTTACAACATAACTTTTTCTCAAATTAGAATCTAAAAAAAAATAAGATTCAAACTCCCTCATGTACAATTAATCTAAGAGGTTATGGTAAATCTTTTCGTGGATCTTTTTGTCATATAGCCTTCAAGTACTTGTACATCCATTGTGTTCTACTATTTATGTATCAGCGTTCCTGTTAAAGTTAAAACGAGAAGAGTGCTTCAGTCGAATATCTGTTTCCATACCGCTGATGTTGAACTACGAAGGTGACTATGACTATTTCGCCTTTCTCTTTAAATGCAGCAACATTCCAACTGCGTCTGCATATGGAATATACAAATGTATATATTCCATCTTCATGCCTTATATATCATGTACTGTGTTACAACTCTAGATTCTACTGACGAGGAAAGGTAACACTAGGCCAACGAAAGCTGATTTTTTAGCTCAGTCTAGGTGGCCGAGTGGTCCAGGCGATGTTGTCACGATATCCCAATAGCACGAGTTTCGAATCCCGGCGAGGGAAGAACAAAAATTTGCTTCCGCCAATTTGCAGATTTAACATTGTTGTGCTGATATTTAGAGTAGTTATGACTATATTATGCGTATTCAGCCGTGTATCACCTTCACTGGTGATCCAATGGATTGATCTGTCGTAGAGTTGTCACTTGTTTAGACGTACTTATCAAATAATTATTTCTGTGACTGCATCTTACGATCCTTTACGACAGATAATTTATCTAATATGCAATCAATTCCATCTTCATGCCTAATATATCATGTACTGTGGTACAACTTTAGATTCAACTGACAAGGAAATGTAACACTTGGCCACCGAAAGCTAAATTTTTAGTTCAGTCAAGGTGGCCGAGTGGTAGTGAGCGCTGGACACAGTGCAGGCGGTGTTGTCACGATATCCCAATAGCATGAGTTGAAATCCTTGCGAGGGAAGAACAAAAATTTGCTTCCGCAATTTTGCAGATTGAACATTGTTGTGCTGATTTTTAGAGTAATTATGAATATGATATGTGTTTTCAGCCGTGTATCACCTTTGTAAACAATTACCTATGCAACAACATTATTGGCTTTCACAGTATTGGGGTTTGAGTGTTCCTGGTAAAGGGAAATATAGAAAAGCGATTCGAATGCACCAAATTTATTGCAATGGTCAGCAATCGAGACAAAGACGCATCGTATCGGTCAATCAATTTATGATACTGACTCGTGTACTTTCGATATCAGTCCTTCTTTCAAAGGTGAAGCAATTTATTCTGAAGACGAATACTCATGTAATTGAAGTCGACATAATAAGAACATGCACTCGCGTAACGTGTCAATTGGAATATTTTGACTAAATACGTTGGGGAAGACGATATTGTTCTACTGAAAAGCTAGAAGTTGACAATAGGAAAACTTTAATTGTTACACTTTTCATAGATCCTTGTTTTAAATTCCTTTTTATCAAATTCAAGAAAAGGATCAAGATAGAAGCTGACCGGCTAGCTCCTGTTGGACTGTTTATATATCAGTGCATTTGGATATACGAGTTGCAAGCGCTCGTCTGGTACATTTGTAGGAGTGTTGTTATTTAGATATTATAGTATTGCAGCTGACCTTGAAATTTACAAACAAGGCAAAGTGTTGTTTTTTTGGTTGTTTTTTTTGTGTCTCTAAGGTTTTGTATGAATTATGCTTCGTATTAATCCAAATTGGCAACTAGGCGTGTACAGATAGTACTCATTTAAATATTACATTATGTATAAATTTGTTGTCGATTAAGAAGTTTAGCATAAAAAAGTATAACAAAAATACTGAACTTCAAGGCAAATTTTAAAAAGGAGAAGTACATAAAAACGCTACCAATCAACATTTTCATTATATTGTCACTGATGATCAATGCAAAATAGATCAGTCAAATTTTAAAATCAGCTGAATGTTATTCGTGATGTTTCGACGATGTGTTCATAGACAGCCACACATTGTTGACCAGAAGGAGAGAGTTCCAAGCCTAGGTACGGCAGCGCAAATAATATCTAACAAAAGTCAAAGGTAAAATTGAAAACTTATTCTAGTTTTGAACAGATATCATGAAAAATCGTTTAATGAATTAATAGTTATTATAGTTAACATGGTAAATAAGTTGATAAAATGAACAAAGCGAATAATTGATACAATTGATGACTTATACATGTTATAACAGCTGTTCATTTTAGTAATTTAATTTTAAAACAAAACACACGAGCAACACGACGAGTTTCACATGTGGAGCAGGATCTCCTTACCATTCCGGAGCACCTGAGACCACCCCTAGTTTTTAGTGAGGTTCGTGTTGCTCAGTCTTTAATTTTCTATGTTGTGTTTTGTGTACTATTGTTTGTCTGTTGGTTTTTTCTTTGTAAGCCATGTCATAGGTTGACGTTATGACATATGTCAAGTAGTTCAAGTCATTCGATGTTTTGATCATTGCGTTTCGTCACAAAGTAAG